CCTCTGTCCCCAGGCTCAGAGACCCCAGGCGCCAACAGACAAGGTGACGGGGCAGGAGCAGGCGCAGGGCTGCGGGCGCCTCTTCAGAGCCGCGGGGAGGCAGAGCCTTGGCGCTCACTCGGCGTTCGGAAGCCGCTGTCCCTGCCCCAGGAGGTGCCCGGTCACATTCCAAGCCCCGCTCAGCTGGGCTGAACGCCAACCCCTGTCGGAGCCGGGGCGGCATCGGGGCCGCTACCCCGCGCCGGGCCTTCTCTCCTGGTCTCTGTGCCCGTGGTGGCGGGATGAACCAGGGCCTTGGCACGGAGGCACGCGCCCGACCAGCTGATTTCTGACCTCAGTGACCACAAGCAGGACAGGGCCACGTGCCCATTTTACAGATGAGTGGACCAAGGCCGCGGGAAGCTAAAACACCCACCCAGGGCCACGCGGAGTGGACTCTAACCCCTGCCCCCCGCTCGCACTCACCCCTTCCGCGTGTCGTGGGGCTGGCGCCTGGCACTGGGGCTGCTCCCGGTGGGCAGAGCCCGTCCGCCTCCAGAGGACTCCAGGACGCCTGGTGATGGCGTGGCCAGGTGGTGCCGACCACAGGGGACGGGTGTCACTGTGAAGCCACCGCGGATGGGTGGCTCTCCTCTTCCCCAGCATCTCCCCCAAGGGACAGCCAGGAGCGTGGGCAAGTCTGTGACTGTCCCTCAGCATTTACTGAGCTGCAAAATGGGGACAGGAACCCCTGCCGGTGGACGGCGGAGAGACGCGACCAGGAGCGTCCAGTGTCCTGCGGGGACCGCGGGAGCCTCTGAGCGACAGCACACTGTCCTACCTGTGGTCATCGTGAGGAGATGGGCCACAGCTGGAGGGGACGTCGCTGTGTGGGCTCTTGTCCCCGGCGCTGGCTCTGCAGAGGGCTCCGGGAGCTTCGGGAAGCTTCAGCCCTGGCTCTTCCCAAGGTCACACAGAGGACGGCCCCAGATGGGTACGGGGCGTCTTGTTTGGGAGCTGAGGACAGGGGGAGCAGCCACCAGAGAGGACACAGCCCCGCAGGAGTCCCAGCGGGGCCACCGGGCAGGCCTCGCTGTCCCATACTCTGGTTCCCACCTGGCAGGTGGTGACAGGCCTGGAGGCACCGCTGTAAACCGGCAGGTGGCCGACCCACATGTCCTGCCTGCCCCCTGCCCCCGGAGGGAGCCGAGGAGGGAGAGGGAGCCCTGGCCCAACGGAGTGGCTTCTCATTGTCCTCTGAGTCCCCACTCGACTCGTGGCATGTCCCCTCGGGCCCCACCCTCCGGGGTGCCCTGCAGCTGGGAGGCCTGGGGACACCAAGCCCGGGAGAGGGAGCCCAGGCTTCGTGGGCCTTTGGTCAGGTGGGTGACACTCGGCGACGTCTCTGGGGACAGGCTGAGCTGTACCTTCCTCTGCTGTCACGGTCCTGCACCGGGCAGCAGCCACTCGGGTGCCCCAGCCCCACCCACAGGAGCTCACAGCCCTGTGCCGGCTCCAGAGGTGGAGCCCGACCAGGAGGGTCGGTGGCCAGGCCCAGCTCGCGGCCGTTGGAAGCACCGGGTGTCCCCTGCAGCGCCCCAGCTGGCCTGGGAGGCTTCCTGGACTCTGAGGCCCAGCCAGCAGCTTGTGGAGAACCACGCTGACCGGCCTGGCCACACGCCCGCCCACAAAGCCGCACGTGCAAGTTCAGGCCTGGCCGGCGAGGGGGACAGAGGGGCCGGCACACTCTGTCCACGCCCACCTGGCTCTCTCCCTACCCGTGAGTCAGCTCAGCCAGGCTCAGGTGACAGCCTGGTCATCCCACTCCCCGGCCCATACAGGCCTGGGGACCAGGCTGGGAGCAGGTGGAAGGCTGCCACCTGTGTCCAGGGGACACCTGCTATTCGAGATCCACAGATGTAGACTGGTGTCCTTGCCAAGGAGGACTGGGGGAGCCCCCGTGGGACCCCAGATCCTGCAGCCTGCCCCACCACCTTCGGGTCCAGCACAAGGTCCGGCAGGTGGCGGGAGGTGCTGAACGTGCCGCGTTAACTGTGTTTTAGGGGAAGACTGCGCCTGGCACAGAGTGGGTGCTCTGAAGGGTTTGTTGAGTGAATGCAAGAACTGACCACAGTGTCCTGCCACAGTGTCCGGTGCACCCTGGCACACAGTTGCAAAGTCTTGTTGCAAAATCTTTGTGCAACGAGAGGGCGGGAGGCAGGTGTGTGGTGGCCACAGCTACTCAAAACATGTGAGTCACTGTCACCGCTCACCAGAGCGGGGCCTCAGGTCTCAGGCCCCTGGGGCACCGCCCAGCCTGTCCCCAGGTCCTGCTTTGTCCAGACAGCCCTGACCCCGAGTAGGGTGGGAACTCAGCAGGGGCGGGAGGAGCAGAGGAACAAAAAGAAGCGAGACCGGGGGAGACCTGTGGGCCACACTGTCCCCGTCCCTGTCACCCTGGGAGCGAGGAGCCCATCCTCTCAGCTGAAAGTCCAGCAGCGGTGCCCGGTGCCCACTCAGGGCTCCTCCCCTACCCTGGTGACTTCAGGCTCCTCCAGGGCTGCACCTGTCCTGGGGCCTGGGTGACTCCCTGCCCACGGCTCTGCCCTGCCCCCAACTCTGTCCACTGGGGCTGCTGCCACCTGGTGGCCCACACAGACACCTGCCTTCCACATGGTCCGCCGACCCCGCCAACCCCTGCCCGTCCCCGTCCCTGGGCTGGGTGGGGGCACTGCAGCCCAGAGCACCCGCCCCCAACGCTGCAGGAAATCAAGGGGACACTGGGCTTCAGCTCCGGGCCCCAGGAGCACCCAGCAAACCCGGGTCAGCCTCAGCTTCTCCTGCCAAGGACAAATGGCAGAAGGACCCGCTTCAGCGGTCACGGAGACACGACGTGCGGTCAGCACGGGGCGGTCAACGCAGGGCTGGGCCGAGTGAGCAGCGAAGGTCAGAGTTCACGTCCATCTCCACAGCCCGCGGCGTCCGCCCCGGAACCTGCTTCCTCTCAGGGAGGTCTAAGTGGCGGAACCAGGTTGGAATCCGCGTCTGTCTGTCCCTGGCCGCAGCCTCCACAGCTCTCCAGTCAAGGCCTCGACCTCCCGGTTTCCTTTCCCTCCTGGAGCTTCCTCACCCTGAATCACTCAAGGGACTTCCAAGACCGTCCCTTCACGTCCCCTCGCTCCGACTCCAAGTCTCTTCCGAGAGGAGGCCGTTCTGAGCCTCCATGGGCACCATTTGGACTGTGCTGCTCCCTTCCTCCAGAACCCGCTCTGGCTCCCCATTACCCGCGTATTGACTGCTGACCTGAACACTCCCAGCCTCTGAACCGCTCCCTGCTCCCCAGCTTCCAGGTTCGTCGCCTCTCAACCTCCTGAGTGAGAGACCTGGACGTTCCTCTTCCCCGGCGCAGCAGGTCTGCCGACTCGAAAAGATTCCACCTCCTCAGAAGAAAACAGCAGCAGGGCACCCACCTGGGGACCGTCCCCCTGCCCCCTGCATTACATCCTGTCCCCCAGGGCGCACTCAGGGTCCAGGGAACTCAGCAGCCACGC